CTCCTCTCTCTGTTCCAAGTCTATGGTGCAGTTTTCAGCACAAGTAGATACTGCATGTTTGTTTTTGAAGTGAAAGGGAATTTTGTGCAACTTCTCTTTTTATTGGTGAGAAAACTGATAAAGAGGGTGTAAGCTATTCCTCAAACAAAGCCAAGCTAACAAGAAGCCCAGAAACCAAAGAATGTCACTAACAATAAGTCAACTCAGCATTTTCAGGCCTAGCACTGACACTATTAAAAAAGATAAACAATCAAATTATTTCACTACTTTGGGCCTTCATCTGTAGAATGAAGGGATTGGACTAAGTCACCTCCTAAGTTTCCTTCAAATGTGAAGGTTCTACAATTCCAGGTAAGGAGACCATAAACGTCTGGTCAGAATTTCTCAGAAATCACACACTTGGGATATTTCTTACTCTCCTAGCAAGGAATTTCTAAAGAGCCTAGGCAGTTAGGAGTTCTCTTCACTGCCTATTCATTTCTTCATTAAGTCAACATTTATTGAGCAACTAATGTGTGCCAAGCATATAATGCTTTTTAGTGTAGACATTTCATAAGTGCTGAGAAACAATAAATGAGAAGGACAAAATTCTCCGAGAGGACCATTTGACACATAACTTTCCAAAGTTCAGACAGAAACAGTGACTTCATAGGGGAAAACTATGTGGAAGGCACTAAGAACTGCTCTGTTCAGTTGCATTTAGAAATGGTTACATAACTATTACATAGAACAAGCATGACTCATAGGATGTAATCAATCATAAAGCAACACTTTAAATTTATTCCACAGAATTAACACTTTCTCTGCTCTTGGGTGAAACTTAGAGCAAATATTTCTTCTTCTGATCACTTCCAGGTAATATATTCTTTGGTCAGTAAGCCGCATGTCTAGATTCATGTCACAGTAAAAACATCAATGGTTAGGCCTCTGCTCTCCCCAGCTCAGCCTCCACAAACATCTACAGCTGATTAGGAGATCAGGCTGTGGCCTCTCTCTTCTCCCCATCCCTGCCCCTTTCAGCTTTCTGATGGTGATTTCACACCTCTCTCAGGTTGAAGTACTAGGAGGAAGATGAAGAAAGGGGAGCAGGAAAGTTCTTATTTGTCTAGTATTCATGTGAAGATCTAGTATCGGAATTGATATAAGGGGTTGAAAAGCCATGTAATAAGATCTTGACAACCTACTCTGTAAATTTTGCAAAGTGAGGATCTCATACTTCACTTTAAATGTGACATCTGTGTCTTAGTGCTTTGGCTAAAACTTTCATTCTTTTACAGTTATTCCTGCCTTGTCATGCTAGAATGACCAATTTCTGATTACATCTTTGGCTTATATTTGCCACGTCACTGTAACAATTAAATTTCAATATATTTTTTAAATTTCAATATATAAGGGCAAGTTAATATCATCTTTGTATAATTTAAAGTACTTACTTATTTTCATAATCTGTAGATTAGGCAATGCTTTTGTTTCTTAGGGCTACCATAACAAAATACCACAAACTGGGTGGATTAAACAATAGACATTTAGATCTCATAGTTCTGAAGGCTAAAAGTCCAAAAGCAAGATGTCAAACCCTCCAAAGGGACATTCCAAATGTCCCTCAAGATCTCATACCCTCCAAAGGCTCTGAGATAAAATATGTGCTAAATCTCTCTTCCATCTTCTGGTGGTTACTGACAACCCTTGGCATTCCTGGGCTTGTAGTTGCATCACTTCAATATTTGCCTCTGTCTTCACAAAATCATCTCCCTGTATGTGTCTCTGCATGGCTTTCTTCTCAGGAGGCCAGTCATTGGATTCAGGGCCCACTCTAATCCAGTATGACATCGTCTTAACTTGATTACATCTGCAAAAACACTATTTCCAAATAAAGTGATATTCACAGATGCTGGCTGGGCATGGATTTGGCAGGACACACTGTATAATCCAGTACATGTGTTGTAAAATTTCCTGTAGAAAGGTTCAGTATCAGTGCAAATACGATGTTAACATGTTTTTTCCCAAGTAATGTTTCAAAAAAAAATAGATTACATTAATTTTGGAAAGACTTATGGAAATGGGGACCCCTGTGTTTCACTGGAGTGCACTGCATAGCAATAGTCATATTCATAGATTAATATAACAAACAGCTTAATAAGTATGGGTATGTATCATATGAGAGAATCAAAGAAAGCTAATAATAGCTACCCTAGAGATGAACGAGCGGATGCTTTTCCACAGCTGAATCCTCAGTGGGATGATGTAGTCTTTGTTGATTTTGCAGTGTGACTGATGAAAACAAAAGAGATGCAAGGAAGACAAATGACATAATTTTGAGTGGCTTGACTATAACTACACATACTAAAGTTATAATAACACTAGCAGTGATGTGATGCTGTATATAATTATCCATTTTTAAGTTTCTGCAACATTCAGAAAATTTTCCTGGGAGTATTTTCCCCCTCTCCTGGGTTTCCCTTTTTCCAGAAATTCAAGTGGTGTGGTGGAACCTTGTTCAAATAATGATATAACAGCAGGCATAAAACTGAAAGCAACTAAAGGAGAACCATCATGATACTCATCAAAATTGGGACTTTTACAAGTATGGTTTCTTCATGAATTATCAACTAAAGTCTATCCTGAGAAAATGTGGACCTTTAGAAAGGTGCAATGAATAGTTAATGCTTGCATATACTCTATTTCTTATCTATCTCCTCTCTCTAGTCTTGAATAGCTTCTTCCTAGAATCTTTGATTTTGCTTGGCCAAGTGCACCTTGTGGAAAATCATATATTTATCCATCCCTGCTAATTCAATGAGATCACCATACAACTTTAGAAACTTGGAGTGACTTTGTTAAATTGCATGCACTTCTTATTCAAAATAATTGAAGACATTTTTCATTACTACTGTCACCTCTGTTTTACATGTAACTTCTTTTCTGAATGTAGCAAATAACATGTGCCTTCCTTTGTACATGAAAATGGCGTCAGTGGATACTGATCCCTTCTTCTATGCAACTTATGCCAAATTAAATCTCCCTTTGTATAATTGTTTTTTTGGGTTTTTTAAAATGTGTTACCATGTCTTTATTGCAGTTTGTATTGCATTTTCTTTTGTTAGACATTCGGATTCTTGTGAAAGTACTGTGTATGTAAATAATAAAACAACACCCACACTATTACTTAGCTACTACTGTGCATGCTGCCACACTACTTCCTTTCTGTTTTCTTTCTTTTTTTTCTTTATCATGATAAGAATAGTTCTTAGGAATAGAGATGATACAATGGTCTTAAACATATAGTCACTGCTTACTATTAATTAGCCAAGAGTAATGTTTGTTTCAAAATGGGCCTCTTTAACTGACTGTATTGAACTTCATGCCATTTTGTGCTGGGATAGAACACAATAGTAACAGGTGTGACAAATTTCGTATAATGTTCCAATCATAAACCAAGGATGGCAGGAGTTCTAATATCATCAGTTAAAGTGAAATGGTTTTATGGACACCAGAGAACTTATTGAGCTTCTATGTGGATTGGCTTGTTTTTATACCAGAAATCAGGCGACAAAAAAGATGTTTTTCTACCTTAGAAAAGGGGCCCAAAAGTGCAAGATATGCAAAACCACTCACCTTTTTGCACTCAATAGCCTTCTAGGACTTTTAGAATTCCTTTTACATGAAGGGCTCCAAGGGCAGTGGATGGCATTTCGAGGTCCACACTGAAGCAGGCCCAAGGAGCCCTGGAGTCATAGATGTCAAGAGAGAGAAGGGTCGAAGGCCTGCTTTCCTTAGTCTCTGCTGGCCTCCTCCTCTTTTGTAGAACACAGTTGGGTACATGGCAAGCTGGGACCACATCAGCACAGGCCATGGGAAGTGGGAAGACACAAAGATCCAGAGCGGACAGAGCCTGTGTTGAGAAGCTGGCCCATCCCCAGGAGCCAGCCAGGCAGGCCAGTATGCAGTGGTCAAAGGGCATGGCTAGCTCAGATTGGGCCAGGCTATTTGGATATCTGAGTGAGTCCTGCCTGCCAGCAGAACACAGTTCTGGAAGAAGTCCAGCTGACAATATTCAAAATCAGGCATGGTTCCAGGTGATCAGTTCAGTCACAGCGGGGGCCCCAGCCAGAAGCTGAGAAGGGAGTCAGAAATCACATCCTGCCTCCCAAGGGAAGAGGAGAGCAAGAGTTTGGCACAGCACCGCAACCTGAGCTGAGGAAACTGGAGTTCTTGGCAAGGATCCAACCCCTGCAGAGCAGTGAAGTGCAGAACAGAGAAACTGAGGCCAACTGGAGTGGTAAGGCTTTGGCCAAAGTGGTAAGAGCACACGGAGACTCAGAGTCTCCAGAAGGAACCAGATTTCCAGGTCTCCAGGCAACCAAACCAGTTTCATCTATTAATAGGTCTAAGGCTGATGACAGGATCAGGACTGGCTCAGGCTGGTTGGGAGCAACTAAGAGTTTCTGGAACTTTTAACATGCACAGGAATTACCTGAGATCTAGTTCGAATGCAGATTGTGATTGGGCAAGTCTGAGCTGGGGCCAAGGTTCTGACTTCCTAACAAGCTCCCAAGCCCTGTTGCTGGTTTTCAAACTCCAAAATCCAAACTTGTGGTCATTCCCTTTTCTCCACCTCACTGCTGTCCATCCATGTCACCTGCTCAGGCAACACATCCCCCCTCCCCAGCTCTCCTCATCAGCGGGTCTGGCCACCTTCTTCCCTCTTCCTTTTACTTCTCCTATCTTTACAACGCCCTTGTCCTACTGCGTTTCTTCTGCCAAGACCGTTAATAGAAAACAATCTTCCATTCAGATAATAGAAGGGACAAAATTGCAAAAGCCAGAACCATTTTCCCCAACTGTCAGTCACACAACTAGATTCTTTTATGTTTGATAGCTACAATTAGTCCAGATTAATGGTTTTTTTTTTCAGTGTCTGCCTCATAAAGAGCATAAAGAACATGTGATCTCTTACCTTTCCTTTCTGATAGACTCCAACAGTAAGAAATACTTTCCTAGTGCTTGCTCCAGCAACACATATACTGAAATTGAAACAATACAGAGAAGACTATCACAGTCCCTGGACAAAGATGACACACAAATTCCTGATGCATTCCATATTTTTAGAAAGACATTAAAATAGGCATAAATTAATGGCAAAATAGACTTTTGATGAAAGAGAGGAACCAATATAGTAAAACTTTTAATTTTACTTAATCTATAATAATCCTTGCAAATCCAATAAAAATACCGACAAATTTTATTCCAATTCTAAAATTTGAATAAAAGAGCAAATGGCCAAGAATAGCTAAGGAAATTTTAGAGATAAGAGAATCGAGTGGAAAAAGAAAAAAAAATAAAGTGTAGGAGGGAAACTTTCACTCTATAAGAGCTCAACTTAATATATAGAGTTATTAAAATGATATAACAAGAGAGTCCTATTTAATGTGATCATAAGTGATTTTGATTTTTTGTGCTTTTTTTATTTTCTACACCAAATACTACTAGTTTTGTGAAAAATAAAGCTAAAAAATAAAGGCTGTTAGAAAAAGAAAATGTATATATACTAAAATATCTGTAAAAATCAGAATGTTGTCACATGTTTATTTTATGTTTCTATTCCTTGAAAATATATCTGTATAAAGTATACACTGAATATGTTTCCACATGTTGCACTAAGAGGTCACTAGTTCCTGGCTTACACCAAAAACTAATCATATATTGTGGGGCCAGTTAATTAAGATCTCTCAGGTAGTTTTCTAATCTGCAAAATGATATTAGTAGCTTACCAGTTCACCTTGGAGGATTTGTTGTTGGAATTATACAAGATAGTATATGAAACTGCTCAACAAAATGAAACACTATACAAATGCAAACTGCTATTACTAGTAAGTGTTTGAAATGGAGCACTTGTAGATTTTAGGATTTTGTACCATCCCATGTTGGTGTGACTGGACTGTCTGAGCCATTTGTGCTCAAAAGGTGAAGGGTAGTGGGAGAGATTCGTTTACATCAGCCCCTCTCTCCATGTCCCATCTCATTTCACAACTGTTTTTCATTCATTCAATGACTGTATCTGTTGAATGCCAGTGTGTACTAGCCCCGGAGTTACGATGATGAAACAGACACTGTCCTTGCATGCAGGAAACTTATGAATTAGCGGAGTGTTTGTGGACAAGAAAACAGGCAATTTCAAAATAGAGTAACAAATGCTGTGATGTGGTAGGTCCAGGATGCCATGGAGTTCTCATGGGGTCGCCACTGAGACTTGGATGGCCATAAAAGGGTTCTTGGCCATGTGATAATTAAAATGACGAAAAGGTGAAAAAAGTGAAGGAGAACAGTAGAGGTTGCTTGCAGTTAAGGTAAAGGGGGAGGGAAAGTGTCTTCCAGGAACAGAGAAGAACACTTGTACTGCACCAGGAGCAAGAAAAAAGGATGGAACTGCTTTGATGTTAAAAATCAAAACAAAACAGAAAACCCCACCTAGACCATAACGTTGCCTAGGCCAAGCTCAGCGTGGGCACAGCATGACTCCCATTGTAACAGGTTTGAGGATGACCCCCTCCCCCCAGCTTAAGCCTTCTGAACACACTCCCCAGCCCGCCTTTCTCTTCATTGCCTGGCCCTTCCTTTTGAAAAGACAGCACTCTGATGAGGTGAGGAAGGCTTTTCTCTTTTGAAGCAGCAGCATTATTAACAGAGAAGGAAAGTCTCCCATGAGCTATGGGCAAAATCCTACAGATTGGTTTATGAATCAATGTAGCTTAGGTTAGAGCAACCTAATTTCCTGAAAGCCACTCTATGGCTTTAGGCTTCCAGAGGGGCATAAAGCTCATATGATATTTACTCTTAGTTAAAATTAAATGGAAATGGAAAAAAAAACAAAGAGAAATTCTTCTGGGAGGTCATATCATTGAAGAAAAATAAATAAAGGCCACAAAGCAATGTGGATAAAATACACATATTGCACTAAAGAAGGTCTGGCAGTATATATATCAATGCTGATTGATAGCTATCTGAATATTTGGATTTCATGTGACTTTCTTATAACCTCTTATTGTGAATTATAACATATATTTGGCAAAGTCCATGATATATAAAAGTATAATTTAATAAATGTTTATAAACACTTACATAACCACTATTTAGGTCAAGAAATAGAACATGACCCAGAAGCCCTCCATTCACCCTTCCCAATCACAGCTCACCTTCTCCCCAAGAGATTATCACTGCTCTTACTTTTAGGATAATCACTTTCTTTTTTTTAAGTTTCACCATCTAAGTACATCATCTGTCCAGAAAAAGTACATTGTTAATATAACAAGAATGGTTTGCACGACATTGATGTAACCTGGCAGCCAAGGAGAATGGACTGTAATGCACACGTGTGAACAATGATGACTTCACTGTACTAGTCAGTGGGGGTGGTAGATGCCATTGAGTGAGCATGTGAACTGTGTAGCCATCACATTCAAAATGACTGAGCGAGTAGAGCAATGAATCTACATCAAATGTTGTATTAATATCTTTTCCTGATTTTTTAAAACTTTATGTAAATGGGAGCATATGACATTATGTCTTTGGTGTCTACCTCTTAACATTGAGTTTCTCAATTTCATCCATGTTGTTAAGGGTACTATGATTCTCTCATTTTCAATATTGTATGTATTCCGAAGCTGGATGTATCACACTTTATGTATTGACTCTACTGCAATGGACAGTTTGACTTGTTTCCAGTTTGGAGCAATTATGAATAGAGTTGCTGGTCTTCTCATGTTCACATTTACATGTTTCTATTGGATATATACCCAGGGGTGGAAATCTGGATCACCAAATATGCATATCTTTAATTTTAATAAGTAGTGCCAAACAGCCAAGGGCAGTGGTAGCAACTAACACTCCCTGTAGCAGCATATAAGAATTTCATTGCTCTACCTGGAGTGTTGTGTAATATTTTTTTTCATCAGTTTATCTGAATTTTCTATTTTTCTCTATAATATCTGTTGGTCGAATTAGGCAAAATGCTATTCTAATATTTTTTAAAATTTTCTTTCCCAGTGGGGATATTATTTTTAAACTTTTTAATTCTTATCTAAAAGTTTATTAAAAGTATAGATAAAGCACACATATCATAGCTATATGGCTTAATGTATTATCACAAAGTGAATGTACACCTATATCCCCTAGCAGGTCAGGAAATAAAACTAACTTCCTTTCTTTCTTTTTTTTTTTTATTCTCACCTTAGGACATTTTTCATTGCTTTTGGAGAGAGAGGAAAGAAAAGAGGAAGGGAAAGAAAGAAACATTGATGTGGGAGGGGAGCATCAATCAGTTGCCTCCTGTACCCACCTGGACCTGGGATCATAGGCGCCCGGACTGGGGACCAACCCACAACTTAGCCATAAGAATTGAACCCACAACCTTTCAGTTATGAGGTGATGTTCCAACCAACTGAGCCACACCAGCCAGGGCAGAAAATAGAGCTTATTAGCACCCTAGTCATCTTCATTTCCTTCTCATAATAATCCCCTCTCTCTTCATCAAAGGTAAACTATTATACTTAGTTCTAACACAATGGAGTAGTTTTGTGTGTTTTTGAACTTTATACAAATGGAACCATACAATTTACATTATTTTCTGTCTAGCCTCTTTTTGATTTTTGAACATTATGAGATTTATTTGTGTTGTCATATGTAGTAGTAATTTGTTCATTTTTTCTTTTCTTGTCACAGGAAGAAATATTGACCTAAGGGAGCTGACTTGCTCAACACTTTTTCAATATGGATTGTATTGACCTATGCCACGTATGGATTAGAACACTTTCCAGCCATTTGTATTTTTGTTGTTTCCACGCGAATAATAAGCTTTTGAGTTAAGCAGGCTGTAGGAAGGGTGAGGGTGATACATCAGGCTGCTTCCCTGATTTCTGCAGTAATGGCTTCACTTGGAATTGCTTCTCAGTGGTAATGGTAGTTTGTATTCCCTTCTCGTCCACCTAAAATGCTAAATAGTATCACATCCCCAGGCCGTGCACTTTTGTGTAAAACAGAGCAGCCACAGGATATTACTGGAAAGTTGATTTATTTCCGAGGATCATAAGAGTGCAGGGATAAAACTGGCATCTGGCCACCAGGAGAGTCCTTGACCTAGAAGCAGGGATAGTGCCAAACTGGTATTGGTACATAATGGAATGGGGTACTTTTAGCATGCATGAATCACAGCCTCAAAACTTTCCAGCGGGGAAATCCTAACACTGTCCTCCAAAAAAAAGATCAAATCAATAGCTTATATTTTTAACTCTTTCAAATAAGTAATACTAAAACTCTTCTACTCAAAACAACTGTCTACATCTAGCTTTTGGGTTTTTTAAAGGGCAACATGTCAATGAGCTTGAACTCTTAAAATGAAGTCTTGCTATCAATCAATTTTTTTTTTTTTTTTTTTGGAAAGCAGCCAAACAAGCTTTCAGATGGTAACTCTCTGAAAGGTTGTGTGCGAATGTGTAGTAAATGTAATTTTTTTCTTTAGGTCTTCAGATATAATTATTAATGCTTCAAACATCCCTTATGATATGAACTTGATAATCAAATTAGGATCACAAGGATGAAATAACCTAACCTTCATTACTGAGCCTTCATTACTGCTTTCCTCAAAGTAATTCACTTAAGATAATTCTACCGTCCCTGTCCCATAGATCTGCAACTAGACCATGGAGATAACGAGTAAATGTAGCATGAGTATTCAAAATGATCACATTGTCTCTCAAAACAAAGAATGCCATGTTTAAACAGGTAGAAAATTTTTATTTTTCCACCACTGTGGTTCAGTCAGTTGGGTGTCATCTTGCAAAGCAAAAGGTCACAAGTTCGATTCAAGGTCAGGGCACATCCCTGGGTTGCCCACTGGTCCCCAGTTGGGGCGCGTGCAAGAGGCAACCAATCGATGTTTATCTCACACACTAATGTTTCTCTCCTTCTCTCCCTCCCTTCCCCTCTCTCGAAAAATGAATAAATAAAATCTTTTAAAAAATAGAATAAACCATTGCTTAACGCCCTAGCCAGATGGCTCAGTTGGTTGGAGCATCGTCCCATACACCAAAAATGTTGCAGATTGGATCCCTG